CCCCCCCCAGCGGCTGGTCCTCACCCGCACGGTAAAACGTGGCGCGGGGATGCGTTTCGGTAGAGAAATTCCCCCCTCCCTGACCCCAGCTGGACAAAGGGGTCCCTGGCTGGGGGAGCATCCCCAGCAGCATCCCCACCCCGGCCAAAGACCCCCTCGCGGGTCATGACCAGAGATCTCGCAGGGGGCGACAGAGTTTTGCCGGGGCGGGATGTATTTCCATGGGAAGCGCCGTGGGGTTTCAGCCGGGCGAGGGGGTCCCGGTGGTGCTGTCAGGTGGGGCTGGGGGGGGTCAGAGCAGGGCACTGTGGTCCCCGGGGGGGACAACTGAAGGTTTGCCACCTCCGCGTCTCTCAAGCCGGGGTGCAACAGGGTCATCTTCAGTGCTGCCTGGCTTGCCCTTGTTGCGGGGGGCTTGGCATCATCCAGGCAGGGGCCAAATCCTGGTCCTGGTCTTCATGCTGGTCGTGGGGAGCCCCTGCCCCGCACTGGAGGCTGCCGTGGGGAAGGGAGGTGCTGGGGTGACCTTTGTTGGGGCAGATTGGCAGGTTACCTCATACCCCCCCAGATCGCTTGCCTGGGGTCTCTTGCAGCCCCACGGGGAGGGCGGCTGTGGAGGCGGGTGGGGGGCAGAGCATCCCCCAGCGCCTGCGTGGGCTGGGTGCTGGCGGCAGCTCTGCGCGCAGGAGCTGGTACGGAAACGTGCTGGCATCCAGGAGCTGCCGCGGGAGATGCTGTCGGATGCTCTTTACGCCCCCAGGGACCTTTTCCCACCTCTTCTGTGCCTCCCTCCACCCCAGGCTGCCTCGTGTGTCCGTGGGTGCCCCCGTCTTCCCTCGCTGCATCTTCAGAGGTGCCTTGCGTGCCTTAGCCCCCCTCCCCACCTACAGCAAAGGACCTGCTCGGTGGCTGGAGCAAAAAAGAGCAGAAGTTGTGTCAATGTGACCGATTTCCAAGCCTCCGTAGCAGCTTCCCAGCTGTGGAGGGGTTATTATTGCCGGAGGCATGACCCAAGGCAAGCCTTGGATGCTTGGGATGGATGCCAGGGGCTCAGTGCCACACTGTGGATGTGCCCCCTGGGGGTGCCTGGCCACCCTATTCTGAGCTGCTGTGGTTGGGGGGGGACCCCCGTGACCTCCACGGGGTGCTGACGGATAGAGCTTACGGGAACATCTGGTAACTTGTATGATGGTGAAGGAAAGGGCTCACACCCCATACAGAAACCCGTCTGCTGGAGGGACACGATGGGCTGGGGCTTGCCCTTCGGAGCGAGGACGGGGTGAAACCTGGACCGCAGCGGGGAGCAGGACGTGAGCAGGGCTTAACAGAGAGCAGAGGGTCTGCTGGGGCATCGCCTGCAGAAGAGCAGAGCCGGGAGCAAGCACCCAGCTGGGCTGTGCAAGGCAGGGGGGGGCAGCCAGGCCAGGCTGGGGGGACGCAGGAGTTCGCTGTCGGATAACCGAAGGCTGACAAGCCGCGGGAAGAATCCTTGGAGGAGCGTGGGGCTTGCTCAGCCCCTGCCCGGAGGAGCTGCCCTCCCGGCTGCTCCGCCTGCTCCCTGGGTCTCTGCCACTCCAGCAGCGTGACTGGGGCACGGATTAATCACCCGTCCTTTTCCTCCCTTGGGGTATGGCCACCAAGTTTTCCATGCCTTAGTATAGGCATGGCACCAGCCTCGTCCCCTGCATGATGGAGGGAGCGAGCCCTGGGTTTCTGGCTTACTGCAAAATGTAGTTGAAGGCTCTCAGTGAGAGCAAGTCAGGCTAGAAAGAGGTTGGGTTTGGGTTTTTTTTTTTCTTTAAACAAAAAAATAAAAAAGCCCTCCCACCATCACAAGATGTTTCTGTCTAACGGCTTCGTTCTCTCTTCGCTAAATACAAATTATGGCTCTGACACGACGGAGGCGCTTATCTCCAGCTGAATGCCAATTGCTTTCAGGAACAAAATGTTTGAAGTTCCTTTAAGGTGAAGGCGGCAGCACAGTCCCTGCTGCTGCTTTCAGCCTCCAAAAACCTGCTGCCATCACCCTGACTCCCGTCCCAGGTCCCCAGCTGGGAGAGAGCTGGGGGGGGGGGACAGGCACGGGCTGACAGCTACATTTAGACACGGCTCAGCCCTCCGGGCTCAGCGGGGGGGGGAACGGGACGGGGACGCAGTCCTGGCCTGACGTGAGCGGTGGCGTGGCCCTTATAATAACTCTGTGCCCGGGCTCGGGCTCTCCCTCTCCCCGTCAGCCTCAGAGATGAGTCTCCCTGTCCCCGCCGTGGGGCTCGGGGGGATAAAACCGGAGCCGGGGCGCATCCTGGCGCCGGGGCTCTGACCTCCAGTGGGAAGCGTGGGCTTGAGCCGGCTCTGGTGCTGCTGGCCGGTGGGACGTGGGGAGCATCGGCTCCGTGATAAGTGCGTGCCAGTCCTGTCCCCAGCTGCCCCAGTGCGATATTCGCCTTACGGAGAGCTGTCTTTCTGCTTTCAGGAATAAGTACTCGGCTCCCGGCAGCGTTGCCGTCATGGGGAAGGACTATTACAAGATTTTGGGCATCCAGTCCGGCGCCAACGAGGATGAAATCAAGAAAGCCTATAGGAAAATGGCCCTGAAGTATCACCCCGACAAGAATAAAGACCCCAATGCTGAGGAGAAATTCAAGGAGATCGCAGAGGCTTATGATGTCCTGAGCGACCCCAAGAAACGAGCCGTCTACGACCAGTACGGGGAGGAAGGTAAGGGGACGGGTGCTGGCTCCAAATCGGTTCGTATAGGCAATGGAGTGTTTTCGCACAGAGTTGTCCCTGTGGTTCATGCCTGCCCCCGAAACAAGGCTGGTGGCCACAGAACTGGGGAGGGCAAAGGCTCCACAGGTGCCAGAAATCGTCTCTCATCCCGCTCCTCCCCAGGCTGCTCCGCTTTTCCAACCCACCACTCTGCTTCCCAGGAGGGCTGGGCTCTCCCTGCCCTCCGCCCCGAAACCCCACAGCCGGCCGAGGCGATGGAAGTGGAAGGAGCTCACCTCCTGGGTCATACCTGGGGTAATTCGTTAGCAACCCTTTAACTGACCTAAAAATACCCGAACAGAGGAGCGTTGCTTTTGCCCACATTCCCCCCCCTGCATTCACGCACTGGTCACGCTGCCCTGCCTGGTACAGGCTGACCTACAGGATTCAAACCTTTTCCCAATTTAAGTAATAGGTCCTTGTTTTGAAACCAAGCGGTTGCTGTTGTCTGGTGTTTGGCATGGAGGAGGAGGAGGAGAGCTGCTCCACCGCAGGCGGCCTTATTAGTCGAAGATGGAAGAGCGCAACCCCATTCGAGGAGAGTGCCGAATAGCATCTGCATTAATCAGCCCAGGGCTTGGGTGCTTAAAAGAGCAGGAGGTCTGGCAGGAACAGTCTGCTGGGTGGAAGGGGCAGCCCCTCTCCGGGGCCGGGCAGGTGCCTCCCCTAACAAGCTACCGGTAGCATTAACCGGCAGTGGGTTAATTCTCAACCCGCTAGTTATGTCAGGGCTATGATGGATGCACCGAGGCAGGGTGATTTGCTGTGATGTAAAATGAGAAGAGGCTGTCTCAAGTGGGAAAGCAGCCTTTCCCCAGAGGCACCCGAAATCGGACCCCGCTCGGGCTGGCGTCACAGGATTGAAGGTGAAACCTCCTGGCTGTACATACAGTCTGTTAGGGATGGGGGCTCCACGAGCATTTGGCGAAACCGCCCCCTTGTCGCAGTGGGACAGGGAGTCCTGGCAAAGCCAAACTCCGTTGGACCAGTCCACGATCCCTCACACCTTTTGTTTCCCATCATCAGATGCCTTGGTCGGCATCTGTGTCCCACTTGCTGGGGTGAGCGAGGTGAAGCAAAATCCCCCTAACTTCATAAAGACCCCCAGACTTGGCTGCGCTGTGCTTGTTCCCCTCCTGTCTCCTGCGCTGCAGGGGGCTGGCACTGGCACGAGCCAGCCCGTCAGAAATAGCCCGCCCTGAAAATAGTCCTTGAGCTAGGCTTGGCTTAACCCTTCCTGGCCCCTCCTGGTCAAAAATAGACTTTCAGAGAGCGTGTGTGACCTCTTTGGGGGGCCACTTGTCATGTGCCTTGGCTGCTTGGGAATTTGTGGGGGTTGCAGTGATGTAAGGCTCAGCCTGGGACCTAGCAGGGAAGTTTCCCGTGGGAATGGCTGCCAAAAGGTCCAAACCTTGAGCTCACCTGGCATTTTGTACAGTGTGTATACAGGGAGCTGCCTGCCGACCTGGAGATCCGCTGACCTCCACCTGCTCTGCCACCCAGCGTCACAGTCACTCACTGAGCTCAAAGCCTTTTCCCACCTGCTGGGCCTGATGCTCCTGGACCATGGCCATCGGTGCAGCCCAAGAACAGGGCTCTTTGGGTAGATGGGAGCCTGCCCATGGGGAAACGTGGAGACAGGCTGGTCAGGAAATGTTTTAAATGGAAAGGCTGTGAACTGGGTGGAGAGAACCGAAGAAACGCTTCAGTTTCTCTGTCTTCAGGGACAAAACCTGAAGAGCTTTTGAGATGGAGCTTGCTGGGTGTGGGAGCAGGACTGTGTATCATAGGCTGAGGGGGTCCCTTCCTGGTCCATGCCCTCCGCAGGTGGCTGGGCTGGAGGCGGTGACCTGCACCCCCAGGAGATGCTGGAAGGGCTGCCTGGAGCTAGCAGAGACCACGCTCCCACCTGGAAAGTGCGGTCCCAGCACACTGTCCACTGGCAGGCAGCGTTCATGTCTCGTCTTCCCCTTCCTCTTGCAGGTCTCAAAACTGGAGGTGGCTCTTCAGGTGGCTCAGGGAACACTTTCCACTACACCTTCCACGGAGACCCCCACGCCACCTTTGCATCCTTCTTCGGGGGCTCCAACCCTTTTGACATCTTCTTCGCCAGCAGCCGCTCCCGGATGTTCAATGGCTTTGACCAGGAAGACATGGATTTCGATGATGATGACGACCCTTTCAGTGCCTTCGGCCGGTTTGGCTTCAACGGCATTAATGGGGTTCACCGGCGGCACCAAGAGTCTCTGCACACGCGGAGGAAGGTCCAAGACCCACCCGTCATCCATGAGCTCAAGGTGTCCCTGGAAGAGATCTACCACGGATCCACCAAGAGGATGAAGATCACCCGCAGAAGGCTCAACGCTGATGGCCGGACCATGCGGACTGAGGACAAGATCCTAAACATTGTCATCAAACGGGGTTGGAAGGAGGGAACCAAAATCACATTCCCCAAAGAAGGGGACGCCACCCCGGACAACATCCCTGCTGACATCGTCTTCATCCTCAAGGACAAGCCTCACTCGCACTTCAAGAGGGATGGGACGAACGTGGTCTACACGGCAAACATCAGTCTTAAAGAGGTGGGTACAGGTGGGAAATCCTGCGGGGTGGGAGGTGGAACTGGGTCATGGCATATGGGGCCGAGACAGGAGTCAATCCATGTCCTGTGCCAGTGAGGAAGGACCAGGTAGGTTGCGAGAGATTCAAGCAAAGACCTCTGCAGGGAAGAGCACAGAGGCCAACTCATGCTTGGTTTTGGAGATGCTGAACCTCTGTGCTGGGTGTAGGACCCAGGTGCTGCCAT